CAGCGTTCCAGGTGCAGCCCTGCTGCAGGCAGCAAAACCCCATGGAGTCACGGCAGAGAGGCGAAATATATACATTGCTGCCCATCGCTCATCCATCTCAACTTGGCCTTTCACTTTCTTTGTACCTAATGCTTGTGGAGAGCACCAGGGCCATGTAAAACACCATGTAAACCTGTGTCGTGTCTCCTCAGCGGTGTATGGTGCCTGTTGCTGTCAGGGAGAAATGTGCTTTCCGTCCTCCTGCAGTTGCCTGCAGCTGTCAGCGGGAATGTCGTGCTGCTCACAGTGCCTTGCTCTTCCTCTCTGCCTAGTGATACTCCATTTATTTGATTTTTTACAGTGCCTCGGATCAATGGCCATCCAAAACTGGACAGACACCGTGAGCACCCTCCTGGTTATGACAGCTCTTCTACCATGATGAGTAGCGAGCTGGAATCCAGCAGCTTCATTGACTCTGATGATGACGACAACACAAGCAGGTAGGGCTCTGGCATAGCGACTGAGCTGTTAAATACCGTTTGCATCTGTTTCCCAGCCTCTTGACTGTACTTCTGGGCTTTCCTGAAATGTGCCGACTAGCAAAATTAGAAGATTTATATATTCTCTCCCCCCCCCCCCCGCCTTTTTTTTCTTTTTTTCTTTTTCTTTTTTTTCCCCCTGCTACATGTGATTTGAGCGCTGATAATTCATCAGTAGCGTTATGTTGTATATAATCATTGCTCTGAGAAAGAAGCTAAGTTATTGGGGTCACCATCCAAGCTGCCTATAGCCACTATTCCAATTAAGAGAAAAATTCTGTTCCTGTTCTTTCCTTTTAATAGCAAGAATGATCACATTTTAAGATCAAAGCAACGTGCAACTGCCTGCCTATTTATAAAGTAATGGTGTGAATATTGTAACGAAGTACCTGCAGCGTAGATTCCTAATAAGTATGCACTTCGCTAAAGCTGAATTGTGAAGGAATTCCTCTGTAATTGCGCAGTCTGAGGCCTATGAGCAGCGCAGGAATTCATCAAAGTTAATGCTATTGCAAAGGCAGGCTGTGATGCCATATATTTATGACTACTTAATTATTTTTTTCTTTGTGTGCAGACAGAGAGAATTTGAATTGTTCTTTTTTTTCAGAAAAGCTCTCAATTTAAAGACATCTTTGTTAATCTCTAAAGATATTTTTGTTATTCCATAAAAGGTTTATAAGGCAATATGTTTCTCAGATTCAAAATACCTATTTTTAGAGGTGTAAAATAAATCAAAACTAACATTCTTCACTTGCCTGGCTGCAGTGACAGTGTTCTCTGAACATTGTCTCTAGAGCTCTTGTTCATGCAAATGAGATGTGAAAGCCCATTACACATTTCTATTAATTATCAGAGAACAACAAGATTACAAATCTCTGGTGGTTCATAGACATCTGTAGCTAAAACAAATAAGGTGCCTGTGATATTCTTAAATTCTGGGTGGAATGGAAGCAGCACAGAACAGCTCCTCCTGGAGATGCTTAGCCTTCTGGATGCTTTGTACTTCACCTGGGTGTTCATGGGTTGGCACCATCAGCAGTTAACCTGAACCTATTCTAAGCCTTCCTGAAGCCTTCAGGGCTTCTAACCCTCCTCCCCTCCCTAAAAAAAAATCAAGCCCACAAAAAACAAAAACAAGCCTGCAGCTGATTTTGTTTCTTGTAAATAAATTAATCATTTCCATGGCAGCAAGATATGCAGTAGGGCAGGATTAGCGCAGTCAGGGTGGCCACTGAAGCACGTTATACTAGACCCAGCTAAATCTTTCTATATTAATAAAGTAAAGCTTCCTGCGGCTGACCTGAGAAGAAAGAGACTCTTCGAAGCTGCTGCGCAGACTTTTTCCTTTCCAGGCTAGGGCAGAAGCTTTTGGCACACGGCATAGCTGCCAGGCCAGCTAGTCAGGAAGAACAACTGAATGGAATGCTCCAAGGTATGCTGTTGTGTTACGGCGGTGATGTTCTCGAGCAGATGAGAGATTGTGCTGGCAGGGAGAAGTTTTCTTTAGAGGCAAATAGAAAAGCGAGCATGCTCCAGATGCGCTGGAGACAGCAGCCTGGGGAAAACGAGGTTGGAGGGGGTAAGTTTGATAAATAACAACTGGTGAACTTCGGTGTCAGAATCTGCATTGTAAAGGAGATTGTACGTGGAGGAGGTCACAGAGAGAAGAAATCAGGTGTAAAGGATGTTACTGTCTTGGAAGTGAAGAGGTTGTAGAGTTGAGGATGCTTTTCTAGCAGTGTATGTTTGATGTTGGTTTATTTTATTTTTAACTTGGAGCAGTGCAGCAGAGTTGGTTCATTTTCAGTCCAAGGAAGTTCTGTTGCATTTAGTTAGAGAGAAGGAATAATTGTTTGTTTCAGTGAATTAACTTGTTCACTAATATTACAGGACAGTGCAGAACCCTTCAAGCAGTGTGAGTGCAATAACCTATTTCCTTTGTTTTCAAAGTATGATATAATTGAACAGTAGTGTTATTTGTAGGTAGTAGGGGGTATTTTGAGTACAGATTGATTTAGGGAGCTCATGGTAAACTTTACAGGAAGAGTCTTGTTTCTGTCTTATGTTAAACAAAGAAAGGTCTGGCAGATAGGACATCTGTAGCTGCAGGATTATTGTCAGCAACTTGCAATTAGTATTCCCAGTTTAATGTAACTAAAACAATTCACTGCAAAAAATTGATTATGTTTATTTCTCATTTAAGAAATTAACATTATTTCTGTTTAAACTTATATAGATAAGCTTTCTTTAACAGTTACAGTTTTTCCTTTCTTTTGGGAATGTAGATTGGACAAATTGTTGTTACTCTTTTTGAAAATCTCGTCTGTGGGATTTATTAGCTGTTCTGTTAGCAGGGTTTTGGCCAGTAGCTAGTGCAGGAAATTGGTAGTTATGATTCCAGATTTGTTTTTCATCTTTGCACTTTATTTTTCCCAAAAGCTCAAATCTACCATCTTGTTTTGCTCATCAAATTGTAATAATAACTTTTACTCATTTCTGGCAATACTTTAGAGATCAAAATATTACTCCTCATTAGAATAAGTCTGAGCTGTTATTTAGCATCCGGATTCTCCTGGACTCTGAGATAGGCAGTTATGAATGGTTCAGGAAGGATACACTAAGGCTATGGATTTAAAAGAAGTTACAAGAAGAGATGACGAAGTTACTTCTCTGAAATATTGTCTGTCCTCTTGAACTAGACCACAAAAACCTTGTGGCTTTTCGAAGGAACTGGTTTCCATTCTTCCAGTCTAACGCTGAGTAGAATGAAGAAACACTGCAGAATAGAACAACTTCTCACATATTATCGTCTGGTAACAGAAATTCAGAGATTTGCCAAGAAACTCTGGTTTTGCTGCTTGAATTTAAAAGAAAAATCAAAACTGTACACTGCTTACAGAGGAATCTAAACTTCTGGTCATGTGTTGAAATGGAATTAATTTTCCAAAGCAGTCTCACCCCCAAGCTGCCAAAGTAAATAGGGAGGGAGGGCAAAGTGAAGAAGGAACAAGATGCTGTTATTAGCATAAGCTGATTGTTCACACCTTCATCGCCTCAGCTGTGCTCTGTCTGCCTTCCTGAGGTGTACTCCAGACGTTTCGTCTTTTTTTCCAGTCCCATCTTTTTGCACTTATCCCTGATGTATCTTTCTGAAGATAATAATGGAAGTATTTTTGTGTCCTGTACTTGATGGTAGATTAAAATATCCCTTCTAAGGACTCAGAGTCAGAGAGCAATTCTGTTTTCTAGCTATACTCAGTGCTGGCAAAAGGAATTTTTTTTCTAGTCCAATTTTAGAAAATCAGACTAAAAGCTGGGAATAATAGTTCTTTGTTTTTCTGAGCAACACCATATTGATGTGCACTAGAGCAGGAGGGAGAGATTGGCACAGGCAGTCAGCCCTGGCAGCCAGCAGATCTTATGTGCTGTCTGTGATCAGGAAAAATATTGACAGAGGAAGCATACTGACATACATTGGAAGGTACTTTTAATTTGCTTACTTCTTAGGATGTAAAGTGCCGTGAAATCGCACCAGATTACTGCCAAGACTGCTTGAGACAAAGAAATCCAGTGAACTGTCTGCTCCTGTGCTGTTCCTATCCCTTGTTTCCATATCTTGCTATCCAGATAAAATGCCCATTGTCTGGATGCTGTGAATGACTTTGAAGTGTGATTGCAGTAGCCAAAAGGACAGATGAAATGTTAAGGTTTTGTCCTCTCTGTTACGGACTAGCTGAGCTGTCTCCAAAACCAGTGCAAAGTCTTTTCTCATCGTGCAGAAGAGTCGGGCTTCCACGGCCGTGTGTTCTGACTGCAGCAGGGAATGAAATCGGAGAGGAAAGAGGACGAGGGAGAATATTCATAGAAAAACATTAGGAGGAGGTTTTTTGTGTTGATCTTTGCCAGTGCTTTCAAAAAGAGTGGTGACTGTTGAACAAGTCCGATTTGAGAGCCCTGCATCTGAGAGACATCTTTATTGTTCCTGTTGCGAAGGTAAAGCCTCAGAAAGCCAGGTGCTGTGAGCTGTTTCCACAGATGGAGAATTATCGTATTTTTTGATCTCTTTTGAAAATTCCACCTCTTGGCTCTTTAAATGAATTTGCATTGCTGGGAGGGGAGAAAGGAGTGTGTGAGGTTAACATGCCTGAAATAGTTTTGTGAACTCAAAGAGAAAGTTGAGAGATTCCCACCCTCTGAGCGGTTCCATCGCCTGTAACGTTCAGCCCAGTGTGCTTGGCCGAAGCACTCCTGCAAGATGGGCTTCCCAGGGTGGTGGGTTGGAAGCTCACGACAGCAAGCTCCGTGCAGAGGTTGCTGGTATCAAGTTTTGGTTGAGGTGTTCTAGCGTTCCTGTACATGGCTGGGACTTTGAAGACAGGGACGTGGAGCCGGGGGAAGGAGGCTGGCGCTGTTTTCTTTGTGACGGTGCCAGTTCAGTTACTTGTGTTGTGTAGAGTTGGATTTTTTTTAAACCTTGGTTAATGATGGAGCATGGCTTTGTCTTTTTTTCCCATTCTTAACATAATACATAGAGGAGAGGTGTCTCTGTGGTGTTACACGGGAATGTCTGAAATCTAGGCTTTGTTCCAGGCTTCTGAAATGAATTTGGGCAAATCCATCTATCTGGCTGTGTTTCGGTCCACTGTCTGTAAAATGAGAATGATTAACTTTCCTAACTAACTGACAGGGAGCTCTGAGGGATTTAGGTGTAAAATGTGGCACGTTTAGGTTCTACAAGTTTGAAGAGCCTGAAAAAAAAATCACAACAAAATAAACCTAACAGAATATGTAAGGTACATCATATTCACTATTTCTCTGTCACTCTTTGGTCATAGCTATCATCAATCGCTACTTTACTTCAAGCCCCAACGTTAAGTTCCTGTTAACAGGGTGGATAGCAGCAGAGGAAAATAACAACACCATGACAAGACTCCCAGAAATTCATATTAAGAGATTCCCCAGGTTGTCTGTTCTTTCAGAGCAGAGATTAAAATCAGTTTAAAAGTAGTGGAAGGTGGCTGCAGCTGACCTTTGGGTGGTTAAATCAGGGTGATACTTGCCTGTTGAGGTGTGAATTGCATTCAGTCTTGCTTCCAAAAGAAATCAAGCCAGTAAATGATACTCTTTAATCCATGCTGAAGTTTAGCTGGTATCTTCTCTGTGCTCCTGGGCAGAGCCTGAGGTCCGGCACACGCTGGGACTGAGAAGCAATATGACACCAGAGACAGAGCGATGCGTTCTAAGCTAGCGGATAGTGGCTGTATGATTTACTCTCTCCTGCATTTGTAGGAATCAGCCTTTTTTTTATTTGGCAGGGTGCAGAGAAATGCAAATGGCTCAGCTTGACAGAGTTGACATTTGCTCTCAATTTCCCCCAGGTTGAGTAGCTCCACCGAGCAAAGCACTTCATCCCGGCTCATCCGGAAGCACAAACGCAGGAGGAGGAAACAAAGGATGCGGCAGATTGACAGGGTAAGGATGGCATCATAATTTTCCAAGGAGATGAACCATGATTTTGAGTGTAGCATGTGAATTAGGAAGGGATCCAGAACAGATCTGTGCCTGCTGAATTGATTGGAAAGGCTCCCTTTGGCTCCAGTGTCCCCTGGACTAAAATCTCGAACATTTCAATTTCTGCAGCACTAGAGTCAAGACTCTCTCCTCTCCCCTTCTATTGCTGTTCAGTGATCACATCTCTTGTTGTCTCTTTCAAGACCAGCCTCTGCAGGGGAACCTCCCTTATGCTGCTGGCTGGTGTGAGCAACGGGTGTCTGTGGTGTTAGACATCTGACGTGTAAATCGCTGAGATTGCGTTCTGCTGGAAGGAGAAATCTACATTGATAGGAAATTCCAAATCTTCTCTCTTGCCCTTTTCTGTGCTAGTCCTAGGGTAGCAGAATGAGGATGGTCCAAGTGACATAATTCTCAAAGTACCTGTTTCCTTCTCATATGTCTTCACAGATTAGAGAATGAGTCTGTCACAAGAACTGGGCTGATGTTTGAGAAGCTATTTGATAAGCACATTTGTATTTCATTCTGGAGTGGGGAGCAGTGCCTGTCTTCTCCCTTCCTGAAGGATCATGTGTCGCTCACTCCCCTCTTTAGGGAGGAGCTGTGGATGTAATAATTCACACTACCTTGGGCACTTTAGTATTTAAATGCCTGCCCGTCAGTTAGGAAGCAGAAATGATTCAATGTGAGGTTCAGTTGAGAAACCTCGACATAGGAACTTGCTCTCTGCATTTTGCAAACAAATCTTTGGAGAAAGTGAAGATGGTGTTCAGATATTTTTTTTTTCTCGCAGATTCGAAATGAAGAATAATTTTGAGGAGGCCACAGGGTTTCTGGATGCCTTTCAAACAGAAACCTATTAATCAGTTTCCGATTAATTAATCCTCAATAGTTATTTTTATTGTCTTATTCTGAGCCATTTAAAACCTTGAGAATTTTCTGTTGTATTTTGCAGTCGTCTTCGTTCAGCAGCATCACAGATTCTACCATGTCCCTAAATATCATCACTGTCACACTCAACATGGGTAAGAGGATAAGCAATGTTTTTTTATGATGAATTTCAAGTGATACAGATGTATTTTGCCCTGCTGTAGTAGCCTTTGGAGCCAGCAGAAAGTTCCTTGATTTGAAAGGATGCCAGTTGAACTAAAGGGAATGGCAGCAGAGAGTTGCTCCTCTATTAACTGTGCCTGGATTCCTGGTCACGTTCTGGGTAGTTCTGAGCTGTTTGCACGAGCAGATCAATATTCTTCCCAAGAAGCCCAGGGAAGGAGCTGGACCTCCAGGATATGGAGTTCTGCTCTTATTTCTGGGAATGGGAAGGGGTCAGACATTGTTAGGAGCATGAGTAGCAGGACACTGGACATTTTGTATTTCTGCTGCTCTTGCGTTTCGTTGTTTAGCCAGATGGAAAGGTGCAGGACTGCCAATTCAGCACCTTTCAGTAACACTCTGGCTGGTGGAAAAAACATTGCCTAATGCTGATCCGGTGCCTAATTTGTAGGTGTAGACATGTCTTTTCAATGTTATTTCTCTTGCTGATTTTTGAATGTAACTTTTCAGTGTCCTGTATGAGAAAATAGTGTCTTTAGCAGCATTTCCCTGCTGCCTTTCAGACCTGCCAGGCAGACATACGCCGATAGGGTAACCTCAGATAATTGTAAGTCAAACATGGCCCAGCTGATGAGAGAACAGATTTTTTCAAGACTGAAGTAGCCTGGTGTTAGCTCTTTACTATCATTCCAATCACCTTGTTTGCTTTTTTCCTCCCCCACCCTCCACTTTCTATCTGTATAGAAAAGTATAACTTCCTGGGAATCAGCATTGTAGGACAGAGCAATGACCGGGGTGATGGTGGCATATACATTGGCTCTATTATGAAAGGAGGGGCTGTGGCAGCAGATGGCCGAATTGAACCAGGAGACATGCTTCTGCAGGTTGGTCCGTGTCCAAAAATACGTGCTGCTGGCTTGTACATTGGTGGCTCAGCTCAGTCATCCCACCAGATCCATGGAGTTAGTAATCAGTTAACGGAATTCATTCATACTCAGAGAAATGTGTCACAGAGACGATTATCGCTTAAATCTATAATTCTTTGCGAACTCGGCTGGATAGTTGATGTGCTCTGAGAAGCAATATTCCTTCAGCTGCTCAGAGGAGTGGAAACAGCTACAAGGCAAATAAATTTGGAAAGAAATAATTAAAATGTCTTTAACTTTCCTGTTGCAAAGCCTGACCTCTGCTTTTTGCAACATTTCAGGTGAATGATGTCAATTTTGAGAACATGAGCAATGATGATGCAGTACGGGTTTTACGGGAAATAGTCTCCAAACCAGGGTGAGCATATTACAAAATCTCTTGCTCCTTATCCTCCATATGCAGTTATTGGTATTGGGCAAACCTCAGAGAAATCAACGTTTTGATCTCAGTAAGGAGCCAGCGTGACTGCTGATCTCAGCTCGGCACCCCTCAGTGTAAAAGATGGATAGGTGAGACTGGTTCCAGTGCACCAGCCAAGCCCAACACAAACTAGGAGTTACCTGGTTTCAGTAGCACTATTTGTTTGTACAGTGAACATTTGAATATCTCAAGAGCTGATCATTCGGCAGATTTCACCAGCAGTGCTCACAATCTATGCAAAACCAGAAACATCTTGGTACTGGTTCATGCTGAAAATACTTCGACGAGCATCTCAAAAGCATTCTCAGAACGTACTTAACAACTATGGAATAGGAATAAGTTTGTTTCAGAGAGTTCACTGTAGCAGTTACAACTTCTGTAATAAGAGTCACTCTTACTTGTTTTCTTTCTCCCTAGACCTATCAGCCTAACAGTAGCCAAATGCTGGGACCCTACTCCCAGGAGTTATTTTACCATCCCCAGGGGTGAGTACACATTTATGCTCTTTGCTGGGTTCCTGTGGAGCCCTCGAGGTCTAGATTATTTTCAGCTAATTTGGCATCTGACAGATTTCTGTTCCCTACAATTTTGATAATTTAAAGTTTGGTTGTATTGTTTGCTTTTTGTTTGGGGAGGCTGGGGTTTAAGATACTCTGTCTGAGACTCCAGTGCCCAGTGAATTCATGGGAGTTTTTCTTTTGATGCACATGGTTTTGGTTTAAGCTCTTAACCTTTTGGTGGGTATATCCTCCTGATCTTAACCTTTCAATTGATAGTATAGTTATCCTCCAAGCTTTCTTAAGTGTTAAAAGCCTCATTTTGTCACATGTAGACTTCTTAGAAATAATTTAAACTATTTTTAAAATTTGAGGCAAGCAATATTGTTTAATGTACATAAAACTTCTTGACAATGATCTAGTTTTAAAACTTCTGGTTTAATAAACCTCTCTGTAGCTATAAAATATCCACGTTCATGTGACAAACACAGCTGCCTCCTACTGGTGAGTGCTCTGCTCGTGATATTGAAACCAGCTTCTTACCAGTCCCAAGAAGATGAGGATAGCAGTGTCCATTGAAATTAACGCAACAGACTCGTGAAGACTACGGGAGCTCACTCAGTGAAGTCCTTAAGAAAACCAGCATAATCAAAAGAAAAATCCCACAAATCACATATTTCAGAGTTGCTACAGGGAGAGCTTGTGTATCGGTTTGTCCTTTGTTCAGCAAAGATACATCCATTATTATAGCAGTAGAGCTGTTGTAGGGTAAACTGGTTGCAGTAATGTGTGGGATATTTTGAGGAAGTACCTAACATAGGCAGAGCCCTTCTACATTTCTCATTTTAAGGCAACAGAACAACAGCCACTATAATTCGGAAGAAAAGAAGTAATCCAGATTATGGGGAAAATTGAGCTTTATTCCTAGTTTAAAAATTACTTGCTTTGTGGCTCTTCTTAAGGCCTGAGTGTAATTTGCAGTCTTATCTGACATCTCTTCAAATGGTTTTTATGTCTTGCTTATTTATTTTGCAAGACTATTGCGGTCTTTAAAAGTTTCATTATGACTGCTGCAAACACTGAGGGGGGAATTCCATGAGACTTAATGTTCTAAATTCACCTTCAGCAGAAGCTTCACTTCCTGTCTGAGTGGTTATTTTGGATCCAAGGCACTTAGGAGCAGGGAGTCTTAGTGTTTACTGCAGTTCTGATTCCATTCTCCCTTTCTGGTTGTTTTGCAGCTGAACCAGTGAGGCCAATCGACCCTGCAGCGTGGATCTCTCATACCACAGCCATGACGGGAGCGTACCCCCGTTACGGTATGAGCCCCTCCATGAGCATCACCACATCTACCAGCTCCTCACTAACAAGCTCAATTCCCGATTCGGAAAGTAAGTCACACTGCGGCCAGCACAGGGCAGGCGTCTTCTGCTCAGGGCCAGCAGTGCAGAGCTGTGCACAAAACCGACCCCAGCCACAAGCACGATGAAAACGACAGCCACCACAGAACTCTTGAATGCTTTCTTAAATTTGTAATTCTTATGGGGAGCAGAAAACCTTTTTTCTAATGGTCAGAAGTTAACGCAGCGGTGTTTGGCCAGGGTTCACATTCAGGAAGAGGTGGCTTCTGGTCCCTTTTAAAGTTACAAGGCAGGCCTCCAACTTTATCCCCTCAGATAAATGTGACAGCTTCCTCCTTGCATTTGACTGGTTTTTAATAAATTTAAATAATTTGCTTCAGGGAGATGTCACGGGATAATCATGTTAGCGTATCATTTAGGAAATCTGCCACTGATATTCACAGAGCCTTCTTTTATACTTTTTTATACTTTTAGAATTTATTGAACAAGGAAAATACAAATGTAATGCCCCACGTGAAATTGTGGTTTGTCTGTCTGGCAGTCTCTAAAGTAGTTATATCCAGTAACCAACCAGTTGTCATGATTCCTTCTCTTGGAAATTTTTGTTTAAAGAATATAAACTCTTCTTTTGTTTTACTCTCCCTTTGCTATATGGGATTAAATCCTTTTTGTAGGCGTAGTCGCCCGGTGCCTCTCTAGGCAGTAGGCAGCACCGCTGAAGGCGGAACACATCACGGTAGAAAGCAAGTGAACCACTTACCAGATGACTGCTTTGTCTTGAGATGTGTTTTTGGCCACTACTAAAGATTGCTGGAATCCCATGTATCTGCCGATTGCTGTCAAACAACACGAGTCTGTTACTCTGCATTCCTCTTGAACTATTCATGTATCCTGTGCCTCGATATTTTTGATGTGATTGGGAATGTGAAACGCAGACGCCCTCTCAATCATACTTTAAAAATAAAGGTTATTTGGGAGCAGAACCACATTTCTGGACACAGCTTCTCATTTCTGTAGAAACTTACACCGTTTCTTTCCCAGCAGGGCGTTACTGTCTGTGCCGTTCCTCAGGTTTGCACTGTACAGGTGGCCAGGGAGTCAGGCCCACAGTTGGCTGAGTTCAGACCACAGTGGGTGCCTTTTAGATGCATCTTGGAAATCTTCATGTCTGTACAGCAACTAGCAGATGTAGAACATCCTGATGATCCTTTGGCCAGTGTTGTTCCTTATATGCAGATCGCAGGTCTCCAAGAAAATACAATTTATTGCTCCCCACATACTTTATTTGAATATTGGTTTGTTGGGTTTTTTTTCCCCCCAAGCAAACGTGTTGCTTTTTGCCACTAACCAAACTAACTTAAAGCAAAAGCAAAATTTTAGTGTTTGTTCAAACTTTGTAAGTATTGAAACTGCATGCACAGACGGTCTGGGATTTCTTCATGCATATTAGCAGTGCGTGTATTGAAAGAAGCATTCTCAGTTTTCATTGTTTCATGCTTGGTGTACCTTTGATCAAAATTTTGGGTTGCTGGAAAGGACAAAATTGGTTCCCTTGTGTTTTTGAAAGGTGGGTGACATGGGGAGCTGGGAGAAGGGAGGGGAGGAGGGTTTAAAGAAGGGTCTGAACCACAAACACAAGACACGCATGTTCTACATGAGTTTTCTAGGGCTGAGAAGATGGGAGCAGGAAGGAGGACTGGGTGCTGTATCCAAAGAGTATTGTCTTTTTACATATAGACAGGATGAGTGAGTTCTGCACAGCTATCACAAGAAGGCTGGGAGGCTCTTGGACCCAGATTCACCCCCCTGGGCTTCCAGTGCCACTTTGTCTCTATGTATGGTAGAGAAGGAGTTTCTAGAGGAACTGGACTCCTACGGTGGGCACCTCAGTTCA